TAATTATCACTTTCCCATGCATTTTCTTGGGAACACGCATTTCAGTCATTGGTACATGCTTTTTAATTTTCTTGGGAACACGTATTTCAGTCATTGGTACATTTCACACATATGGTATGGAACAATGTATAATATTTATGAGACAATAGTTCATATTTCTGGAACAATATAAATAATATTCGAATGAAATATTATGTGAAACATCAATGATTTTTATGTATAAAACAATATCATTAGTATATGAAACAATACATATATTTTATGGAACATAAGTAATATAAAATAAAACATAAGGTATGTTTTTTGAAACATTAATAAGGTATAAGAAATCACAGTAAACCTAGTTCATATAGAGCCCAACTATATGAAACAAGCAATAATATATATGAAACATTAATATTATAAATTGAAACACTTGATATATTTTACGAAACATCATTAACGCACACCAACTACACTTAATGGATGGCTGAGATTAATTATCAATTTCCCATGCATTTTCTTGGGAACACGCATTTCAGTCATTGGTACATGCTTTTTAATTTTCTTGGGAACATGCATTTCAGTCATTGATACATTTCACACATATGGTATGGAACAATGTATAATATTTATGAGAAAATAGTTCAAATTTCTGGAACAATATAAATAATATTCGAATAAAATATTATATGAAACATCAATGATTTTTATGTATAAAACAATATCATTAGTATATGAAACAACACATATATTTTATGGAACATAAGCACTATAAAATGAAACATAAGGTATATTTTTTGAAACATCAGATAAGGTATAAGAAATCACAGTACACCTAGTTCATATAGAGCCCAACTGTATGAAACAAGCAATAATATATATGTTACATTAATATTATAAATTGAAACACTTGATATATTTTACGAAACATCATTAACGACGTACACTTCAACTACATTTTAACGTAACGTGTTTCAATGCAATAAATAATAAAAAGCATGTAATAATGACAGCTTTTGGCAGATTTTGTGTCCCAATGCACAAAAATTAAAAAAAAAATACAAACAATCATTACAATTAATGAAGGTGACCCACGTGAATTTCCACTAATGAAACAATAAATCTGAACCATTCATCTAATAAAAATGAATGGTGTTAGATGAGATCTCATTTTAAAATGGTTCTCACCTAAACCATGGGTTCTCACATGATCCCATTTCTATGTATACATATATATATATATATATATATATATATATATATATATATATATATATATATATGTATACATATATATGTATATATATATATGTATACATATATATGTATATATATATGTATACATATATATATATATATATATATATATATATATATATATATATGGATTGAAAAAGCCGCTGAAATTTGTCGAATACCATGTCCAGCATCATCATTAGCAACTCTTGGAATAGAAGCAAGCGATTGGTACTTTGGAAAGATTATGTCTCCTTCAGGATCTAAGGATTGGATGACAGTTCTACTTCCTAATACCATCTGAAATGGAAGATCTGATTCTTCCTGCCTATATTGTGGATCAAGCGGTCTGTTCAAGGCATTTGCAATGTCGTAATTGCCTCTAAACAGAATCACATTTTCATATGCTTCAACTTGATCACCAAAGAGCGTGAGCTTCATGCAATTTTTCTATTATATTACATAAAACACTATAATAATATGAAATCATATATCTACACATAATGATTTATAGAAAACATTATTTACATTTGCATATGACATGTTTAGAATATACCTTGTCATCCTGTATTATTATATATTGGTATATGATCTTTTTTTCAGATTTTTGTGGCCGACCTTTTTCAGCAATATTGACCTTTACTTTATACGATTTACTTGATGCATCAAGTTCATTAAGAAACCTTTGTTGCGGTGCCATAACAGAATTGGTTATTTCAAAAAGACTAATTAGGCATAACAAATTGAAAGAAACAAAACTTTTTTACAACTCTACATAAGGATTAGTAATAGCCAAGTAAAAATGCATTTGGTATAGAGATTACTACAGAATAAGAACCAGCTTATGCATAACAATTGGCAGTCGTTACAAGATAAAATTGTATACAAGGATTGACGACATTAGCAATATTTACCAGAAAGATTAATCCGTGTTAATAATTAGAGAAATTGGATTTCTTAGCAATTCTGACAGTAATAATGCTCATATTTTACACAAAAGTTGATTTGTTTATAATAATTAGCTATAAACATCTCCCCCCCCCCCCCCCCTTTTTTGTTTCTGGTTATTATTGTATCTACTCTACAGGAAAGCAATTTAATACATTGATTATAAAACCTAACTCCTAGGTTCTTAGAATAATCTAGCCTTTAAAAATTTTCTTGCTTTTTAATAATGACAAAGAGGAGCTTAGCATTATTCATTTTGAAAGTAACACAGAAATGGTGGACAAATTGATAATAATATGTTTCATAGGCAATGCTATTTCAACACACTGACCATTTGTACTTAAATAATTAGTAATTCAATTCAATTCGGCAAGCATAATACAACAATTAAGCCAGTAATTCATGGAAAAACCCAGTTTGGTCATCACAATAATTAGATCAGTGCTAATGGGTAAAGACATGAATTTAATAAATTCAAATTTTAATTATAAAGGTATTTGTAGTATCATGGTAAATCAATTTACATATATCTAAATTAATTCATCCTATATACTACCATTTTCCATATTAATACAGAACTAATTTTCTATTGCAAATTTTAGAATTTTAGGGTTTTGTAATAAACTAATTATTGTCTAAATACATGGTGCATGTAAATTTGGAATTCCAATTGATAAGTAACGATAACATTTTCGGTTAAAGCATAGGCAATATTAACAATGAAATCACATAAACAGCTTGTGTTCTGAAAAAAAAAATGCCTTTTTCCTACCTATAGTATCCAGTGTTCTAAAATAAATGCTATCATGTTTATAAATGTGTAGATTGATATTTAGTTAGCATAACATTTGATTCTCAATTTGACTATGAATTTCAAACAAGGAAATTGAAAAGTAAATAGAGTCTTCATACCTGACAGCAAACAGAGGCAAAGAATATGACAGGAACGTTGGTGTTGGACAATTGATTATACTACTGAGTTCCTTCTTTTTCCCTCTTTTTTTTTTAGATTAGATTATTACTCTAGCTTATGATGTTAATATGAGCCCAATTGTAGCAATGAATTTATAGAAGCTTAGCAAAATAATTGTATTCAAAGTTACTGTGTAGGTAAATAGTAGCCTGCTGTATTTTTTTGCTTAAAATCAACATTCCATACTCCTAGAGTGACTAATATGATACTCTATGAATGAGTAGTATGTACTTTAGCTTAATATTTTACTATGTACTTCTATATATTTTCTTTAGGCTATTTACATCCAAAAATTATATTTTAGAGTAAGTTACATGTAATCTATATTGTTTATGTGTTGCGTTTAAAAATACACAACTCATTATAAGCATACGTTAATTAGTAAATCTCAATTTATAATTCTAGTTGCCCTTAATTTAAAATTTACCATGTTTAAATGTATAAAATTTATGCTAATCATTTACACGTACTTCATGTTATTAGTTTATCGTAAAAATTGATATATCTTTATCGGACTATACAAACACAATCGAAAATTTTAAACTATGTTTGTACATGACCAGAAACTTGATAAAGTCATTTTTATTAAATTTTATTACAATTAACCAAATTGTATTTTTATTTGTTCAAGGGTACCTTAAAAGTTCATAGTCAAGTGATTTCCCTTAATTTACTCTCATTCACTTATATCGTCTTTTAAGAAAATCTTATAGATGTTTGTTAGTAGATTGCATTCCAGTGAAATTTGTTCTTTCTTTTCTTTCTATTTTTCTCTTTTTTATTTCTTTGAAAACCATGTAGCCTGATGTGAGCATACCACTTAGAAACTCTGTCACAACATTATTAGGTGAGACAATGTAGCATGGTTAGAACAAACCAATATTGTCATTGCTATACTAAAGTAATAGCTATGCACTTATAATATGAATGTCTTAAAACAGACACATATGTGTGTACATTTATCTATTACAAACAGCCACTCTTAATTTTTTTCAGCAAGTTGTTTGCTATTACATAAGAACAAAAGATCATCTTGTTTTGCCATTCTAGAATTGTAAATTGGTTGTTGTGCCACTACAAGTTAGATAAATAGTCCAGCTTGATTAATTTCAGAATCATCAACTTCTAGTTGTAACACTACAATTTGGATAAACACTCTAGCTTGAGAAATACATTACTGCAAAGCTGTAAATGAATCTAAGAAATTTGGCCAATAAGAAAAATAGTGTATTTTTTTTTCCTCACTTAACTCTGAAACTATAATAAGATTAGTAGCATACCCTCTTTTAAGCATGAATGTATGATAGCACATTGTAGGAAAATGTTTCTTTTTTAAAGGGAAAAAAGGGAAAAAAAAAAAAAAAAAAAACTAGGCTACAAATAGTATGGTAGTGTACCAGACAGGGCTTAGGATGGGAATGATTAGACTTATAACAGAATGAATGTTGGCAAAGGGAATAAATACCAGTAGTATGGTAAAATATAAGGAGTCAGTGCCTGATTGCCTGATTATATAGCTGACTAAGTGCAAGCAATCTAAGTATGTCACTATAATGGGAGCAGAAAGTGCAAAATAGAATATGTCAGAAAAATTCCCCTGAATTATTTATATGAATGATTCATTTATACCTGAAATTCATATATCAATTGAATCTGAAGTTTTATAAAGTGGTGAATAATGCCAAAACACATAAACCAGGTAGCCTTGAATGATTCTCCTATCATATCAGTAAAGATTCTGTTATTAATTGTTGTATCTACATACTATATAGTATATAATAAAGGGAATAATACTATAATTAGGACACAATAGAGGATATATTATGCATTACCTGCTGATGTGGCTATACAATCCCAGCCATTATGAGAATATGTCATAAGATATGACATTTTTAACCTCGCTAGAATGTTGTTGATCATCATGTGGTTCAGTGACTACACTAACATTAGCTGACTGTTGAGCCCGCGAAACTGCAGCGTACAACTGTCCATGTGAAAAGCATGATCAGGGGAGATAAATTGCAACCTTACTAAGTGTTTGTCCTTGTTCTTTGTTAATTGTCATTGCAAAACTAAGCTTCAAGGGAATCTGTTTTCGCTGAAATTGAAAAGGATATTCTGAAGACGCAGAAGGTCTTAAGTTTATTCTCGGTATTAACACATGATCTCCTTTGTTATGCCAAACATCAATCACACACTCAATGAGATTAGGAAAGAAGCACTTGCATAATAGTCATGTTCCATTGCACAGGCCTGATGATAGCAAAATGTTTCGCAGTAAAATCACTGGACTATTTACCTTTAGTACAAGCTCGTGAGGACTCATACCTCCAGGACAAAGCTTATTTATGAATTCAACAGGATAGATCGAGCAATTATCATCAATCACTGAATCATAGCTTCTATATATATGTGACTGCTTCTCCTGGAAATTTATCAATCAACACTGCATTTATAGCATCCACATCTTCATTCATTGGTGTTATTATAGCTCTTGTTGTAAAAATATCTTCATTAAACGGGGGTATATCCATTTCTGGAAAAGCAGCTGAAGTCAATTGCACATTTTGTGGTACAGCAGCATCACAAGGTTGGATAATTTTTTATGGCAATTCAACAAATGCATTTTCACTTTCTTGCAGCTGACCGTTTCTAAGAGCCAATAAAAAAGAAGCATATTTTGGATCATTCCTAGCTCGGATATTTTCTGTTAGCTTGAATTTCATTATCTTTGGCCACAAATTAGAACAAACTAAGCTGGCTACAACTGCTTCTCGTTGGGTTTTCCGTGGCACAACAGGAAAAACTTGCCTGAAATCTCCCCCAAATACAACAGTTTTGCCACCAAACAACAATTTCGGGTTGCATATATCCCTTAGCAACACATCAAGAGACTCTACATTCTCTTTTTTTTTGTCGTCGAGGCTTCATCCCAAATGATAAGCGTTGTTTCTCTGAGTAATGCAGCAAGGCTTCCTTGTTTAGGAACATTGTATGCAAGAGATTCATTTTATCTAGGCTTTTGTTTTGTAACATAATCCATGATGACATCAAATGCTTCTAATTGAGCCTGGTTCAATTTATCTCTACATTCTAAATACTGCTGTGGTATTTGAGCATTTAGTGCATCCTCAATATCTTTTGTCCTGTGTATCTCATCATCATCTGGTTCTACTAATTGGTATAATCCAAATACAGCAAGAGAGCTACCCATTGACTCTATAAACCATTCAAGCGACTTTACAGTAAGATGTTTTACCTTAGCTGGATTAGAGGCATGCTTGTGTCTAAAATCTTCAAACAAGAAACTATAGTATTACATCCATAAAGAAAGAGGGTCGCTAGATTGACAAAAGATGAGTATAGTAGCAAAAAGCTTGCGAATTGCATGAGGCATCTGAATGGAACAACCCTCCTGTAAACATCGATCAACTGAATCATCTTCCTCCAACAGTCCTAGTTTCAATGCAGCTTGTTGAAATGTGTTACATAAGTGGCCATTCACTGTTCGCAGTGCTTCAAATGATTTAGGACCCTTAACATTGTGAAGCAACAGCCTCAAAAAATATCTCTCACCTTCAGATGGTCCAACAAATGCCAATCTTCCAACGCAAATATTCTTGTTCCGTCTTTTCTTCCAACGCTTAGCTGATGCATCCCATACATAATGTTCACAAAATTCATTATACAACCAAATTGCTCCAAAACCTAGCTTAACATTCAACTGGAAAATTTTTGTTAGGCAAGTTCTTGAACGCTTATCATCTGACACCATTGATGTTAGCCACTCATGAGGCCTAACATTGATAGTCTGTGAGTTAGGTAGGTGTATAGGAAGAGGCAAAACCGGAGGATGCATCTCATACATATCAAGACCACATAACCGCCAAGCAGCTTCACAGGGAGAAACCCATCTACCATACTCGTAATCCCGTATTTTAAATATGTTATAAATGAAATTTAATTTATTTATATTATTATTTTGTATTTTTTCGTAATTTAATTTCAAAATATTCAAATTATTAATTAGGGTCAAAAATTATTTTGGTACAAATCATTTTATGACCCTTCATTCTATAATTTATTTCAATACAATTAAAGCTTAGTCCATTTCATTCATTTGGCCCATTAATTTTATGAGGCCCAATCTTTCTATTTACCCTACAACATTCTCCCCTATAAATACCTCATTAATCCCCAAAATTTTCCCGCACAAAAAGGTTAGTCTTATTTTCTCCTTTGTTTTATTAATTTGTATAATTATAATTATTGTTTTATTAGTTTTAATTTTATTGTTTGAAATTAATTTAATTAGTATCAAATTGTGTTTTGATGATTAAATTTGATAATTTCAGATTTTATAAATGTCATAGTTTTCAGGTTTTGTAAATTTTATAACCTATGGTTTTTAATTATTGAAAATCATGATTTTAGGGTTTTTATGAACAATTGATTTAGGGATTATATAGTAATGATGTTTTGAAATTTTGGTGATTATAACTAATGATTAGTTTAACTTAATTCCAGATTATTTTGAACATGTAAATTCGTGTTTTAATTTTTAGATTTCCGTTCGTTAATTTTAATCCCGGTCAGCAACTAAACTCATCCGATTTTGGTAAAAACAAAGTACAATTTTCCATGTAGAAACAACCTTCTCGTGGTCAAATTCAGCCTCTAAATATGATTTTCGGGCACCTTTTTATTTTCACGAAGTTTTTTTATACTTAAAATATTATCCTTGAGTTTGATTAATAAAATTAATTATTTTTAAAGTTAATTAAGCACAATATATGTTTTTATTGAAGTTTTAAGTTTTGGAAATAGTTTCTAAGTACTACTTTTGATGTTTTATAAAGAGGGTTTAATCACCCATTAAAAAGGGAGATTATTAGGGGTTTTTAAATAATTTTCAGATTTTTATTAAACTTTAAACTTGCTGTAATTTCATGTATAAGAGTGTATTTTAAGGTTTTTATGAAGAAAATTTAAAGAACTATATATAAGCCTTTAATTTTAACTAAAGGGAAGGTTTTAAAGTGTTGTTTGATTTGGATTTTGAAGGTTTTAAAGTAAGTTAGTATTGCTGTAAATTTGATTGATTGGGTATTGATTGTGATGTTATTGTTTGGTTTAGGAGAGGAGTTTATTGAAGGTGATTTCTAGATAGTAAAGTGGCATACCAATTCGTTTATTCAAGGTACGTACGAGTTACGAAACCTTGCCTTTAGATGCATGTTTAGGGATGTATCGAGAACTTAGTATGTATCATGTATAGGGATGAATGGGTTAAATTGTTTAGTTATACATTGTGAATTTTCGTATGACGTGCACTATTATTCTATATTGCAAGTATTGTTTATGCTCTAATTATGCAAGGTGCGCTTAGAGGCAAAGGTATGTGATTGGTGTAATGATTAATTTATTACTCATTCATGATTATGTAAACAGGATGAGTAAAGGAAGAATTCAAGTCTTATAAGACGAAGTTAAGGTTTTGGGGTGCCTTATGCACTCAAGGTGTTTATACACCGAGGTAGTTAAAGGAATAAATAATAAATGTTGTTTGTCACTAATAAATCAAGAATTGAAATTGGTAAATTGTTTTACTTGATTGATGTGTTATTTGATTGATTATATTATTTTGTATATGAGTCATCACCAATTCTAAACTTGTAAATCACGTAAATTGCAAGATGGATGAGCAATAAAACTCTAGATTTGTGCACATCTGAAGTAATGACAATCAGGGGTTGGGGTACACGGGGTATTAGCCTTGCACTTTTCTCGAGGCCGTCTGATCTACGAGTCTCTTATTTCAAATATTTTTCAAAACTAGGAGTTAGGTGAGATCTCATACTAACTACGGTCACGGAGTCGCGCCCGTGGTCGTTGGATATTGATGTTTCCGAAAGGAGGCATGGGATTTTTCTTTTATTGATGTTCCAAATGGAGCATGGATTGGACAACCTTGTCTATTGCATAATCCAATGAATAAAAATAATGATTTACCTATTATTAATTAATGGAGTCTTAGTAATATAAATAGTTGAGTCATGTGTCGAGTATATAAACTAATGATGCGTGATGATTGATTATTAGTAGCATGTTAGGGATTTCTTTTATGTTTTGCAGCTTGTATGTACTCAACTTTGCTGATTGCGTGCTTTGTGTGTCTTTCTTTGGTCATGGCTTCCGCCTTTCAATGACCCTGTGACGATCCAATCTTTACACTTGTAACATTGGGGAGCAGACTCATCACAGGTGTTTACATAGTTTGGACTTGCATCAAGGTGGTGGGATTTTGAGTGGAGAGTTGGTTATTGTTCGCGGTTTATTTCTTTTCATAAGTTTGAATTTATTTAACTCTGGTTTTATTTATTTGCTACTTTTGTTGGGTTTTAAATAAGGGCCTTAATGGTTCCAACTGGTAACACTTAATTTGGTTTCATTCGTTGGTTTTGAAACTTATTTATATAACTGAGTTAGTTTTTCCGCTGCTATTTTCTGATATAGCCTTAACGTTTGAACATGTGGCGGTGGAATGCCAGTAATTCTCTTGGATTTTGTTCAGGGTACTCAGAGGTTTTAAGAGAGAATTATTGGGGTGTTACAAGACTGATACTGCTGTATTTCATCATGAACAGGTATGTCATCTCCGGACTGCACAACATTAAAGGATATCTTATCATGCCCCTTATAGACATACATATAGGTACTAAACAGTACATTTAAATGGCAATTGAAGTAGGACAATTAATAGGGATTATATGGAATCACCCATCTATTATCCATAGGAGTTTTTCGAACAATGACAATCTCTTCTGAATTCTTCCTTCGATACATTGGATACCCATCTGAGTTATTTCTTATTTCATCAGAGAATTTCTTAGGATAACCATACTTGCAATGAACCAGGCTCTCTTTGTGTTTCATACAAGGACACTCTGGGTTGAGCTGACCACAAGGATCGTGCATCATATGCTTCAGCACAGTTTTCCTAAGATAATGACTGCTAACATGGGGTATTTCAGCACACATAAACTTGTCAAAGTCAGTAGGACACTTGATCTTATAGTCTGACTTTAAAATAATGGGGAAATGGGCATGAGGTAAGCCTCTTTTTTTAAACTCAATAACATAGATCAATGCAGCTACCTCTCCAAACACCTTTTTTTTCTTAATCAAGTGTTTCAAAGCAAGCACTTTTGCTCTAAAGACTCTTGCAACAATATCTGGTCTATTTTGTGCCTCTTCTCCTACAGCAAGCTGCTGCTTAATCTTACACCAATTAGCATTACTTGTCATTGTCACAAATAAATCTGGCTTCCCAAATCTCTGAACTAATGACATAGCGTTTAAATATCTCTTTTTAAGATCCCGAGGACCACCAATAAATGTTGGAGGTAAGATCACCCTACGACCAACATTTGCTGCACAATTTTCTCCAGATTCAATAGTGTCAAGTATTCCTTGATAAAGATTAGTTCTTATGGTTTGCTGATTTTTACGAAAAAATCCAAACGTGTATTTTCCACCTTAACATACATATCGACAATATACTGTTGGAAACACCTCCCTGCTCTAAGTATCATATTATTGGGACGACACTGAAGCTTGTACGCATAATATTCCCTAGCTGAAATTTTCCTATCAGATTTTGATGAACCTCCATTGGCACCTATACACAAAACAGAAATAAATAAGACAAGAAATATATAATCTCATTATATACCTTCAAGTGTTGCATTTCATGTATCGACCTTTCATTGGCCTAAGGTGATTCATCTCTTACTTAACATATAGCATTCCTATAAAAGGGCAACATCTAGTATTCTTATAAAAGTCACCAGTTGCAGAAGGCACTTACGTCTAGCCTCCTCTTCCAACAAATCCTCAGTGGAATGTACAATGCATGAAGAGAAAGGATCTGGCTGAGTCTGCAGCTGTTGTGTCCACCCTTAGACATTTTTTTAAGACCCTGAGTCCAACCACAGTCACCATACGGAAAAAGCAGTGGATATTGCAATAATGGATCGTAGCATCCATAATAATGCATAATCCTATGAGATGAGTTTTTTCCCCCTGTAACTAGAATGTGAAGACTTTCTGATTCACTTGAAGAAGTGTTCTCTGGCTAAATGACAACAACTTCATTAGTGGAAGGAGCATTATAAACGCGCTGATCTAGCACTGTTGTCTTAATCAGCATAATCTCTGTAGATTCAGTAATTGAAATGTCCTTTAATGATCGAAAAAATCTAGCATAGGGATTTAACTCGGTAACTTTCATAAGAACAGCCAAGACATCTTCCCTTAGTTTTGGGAAACAACACAGATGTTTTTCAGCCTCCACCTGACCATCATAGAAATAAAGCAGCATATATTTTGGCCCCTCATCCCCTGGAATTAAACTTGAAAGGTTATGATAAATTTGTACGTGCAACTTAAATACATAGATTCCCTTTTTTTTGGCATCCGTTTTGCCACCCAATGATGTGAAAGCAAACATGTTGTTATACAACCGTATATATCTTCTGAAGTGCTTTGCATCTTCATCCATAGAGGTGAAAATCCTCACCAATTTAGGAGGGTACTCATTTGTTGCAATCTTATCCTCACCATCACAGCAGCAGAAATGTAGTGTCTCAAAGGTAAACTTAAGCGCCCCACACTTGCAACACTAAGTAGGCTCGGGAAGCTGGTAAGCCTCTATAGGCAGTTTCTGGCCAATCAGAGCATCAGGGACCTCTAATTACCATAACCTATTTAGAAATATTCATATATGTACTCAAAATTTGAAAAGGAAATATTTATATAGACTAAGCAGAGGTCAATATCAACTTAGGCGAATATGTACTCATATAGAGTACATATATGAATATTTCAAATTTATGAGTACATATATGAATATCACCTTAGGCCAATATGTACTCATAAATTTGAAAAGCAAATATTCATATATGTACTCATAAATTTGAAAACCAAATATTTAGGCAAGACTGTAAAAGTGATATTAACTGCAATTACTTGTGATAGGATGCCTGGTATGAGGTATCTTTGCACGCTTAGCAGCAGGTCGTGTGTGAATCCTAAAAGAAGTAGTTCATATGATTGTAATCATTTCTTTTACTTGTGAATAACTTAGATCACTCACTTTACACGACTCAAAATTCAGAGAACGCTATCTACGATGCTGCATACTTTGTTTACATAATCCTAGATAAACATAGAACCTATACAGAGTTATTCAATTTCACAAAACGCATTAATTCTCATTAATGCCTAAACAACCGCAAACACTTAGATGAAGGACCAAAAAAATACTCATCTTAATTGCATATCCATGCTATACCTTTCTATTTCACTCTGAGTTTCAGTATGTAAATTCCTTAGACGTTTAGTGTTGTTCCCACCAGAAGATGATGGTTCTCGTAAAAATCGATCTACAGCACCATTTTTTCAAACAGAGGTTATAAAACACACTAGAATATCATTGCAGTAAATTAAAGACATATTACAGCACTTACTCATATCTGACTTAATATGCTGGTTTCATCTACTCAAAACCATAATTGTTCAGAACAGCTACTTTTAAGAATTCCCATGAAATAGATGACTGCAACAAAACAATCTCTTTATTTACTAAACAAATCAATAATAAAGCAATCAACACTAACTTAAGAAATCTTGAAAATACATTGTAAAATAACATAACATATATTATATAAAGGCAAATCGATTACCAAATCCATACAAAAATAGAACAAACTATATTATATAATTCAATATATAGTTAAATTTAGATGCATAATCCATATAAGCGAGGCAATTATAAAAGTCATTACATTACATAACTGGTTATATACTTAAACCTAGATTGATAGTTGTTACTCCCAACAGAGAGTGATACATAATTAATTATTACACATATCAAACACCATAGTCTACTAAAGTAATATAACATAATAACCAAGCAAAATAAGCCAAACAACACACATGCACCAACCATTTTTTCTAGCCCTACTCTTAAACCATCTAATCCTTAACAAACTTTGCACGCTTGAAACAGCCATCAAAATCCTCAGGCACTGGAAACACTGAGTGCATCTCACAATCAGCACCAGCCACAGGAGATGTCTCTGCATAAATGTGGCGCAGAAGACGCTTCTTAGGAGGCAGAACTGGTGGAATAGATACAGGCACCTGAAACTCTTGTCCAAGAGGAGTAAGACAATCTTGCTCGACAAGGACTGTAGAAGGTTCAAGCTGTTCTTTAATTCCAAGCACACGCTCCTTCACACTTATATAGCTCTCCCTTTCCAAGGTACACAAGACAGCATCAAACCTAGCCGTTGTTACCTTATAGTTAGCATCAACTATGACAAGATTAAAGACATCAGTGAGGTAGTCAACAGCCTTTCTAGCAAGGCTCTGCTTAGCTTCAGCCACTGTTGAGCTATAATCACTAAACAAGCATCGAAATCCTACGCCATCTCGATGAGGCATAATAGTGAACCATGAAGTGTACTTCTTGGCAGAATGCTCAATAGTCTCAATTGGAGTACACCTTATATCAACAGCTCTAAAGATAGCTCTTAGAATAACAACGAAGTCTACAACTATCTTCTTATGTTTGCTTCCAAGATTAGTAGGAATATCTTCATACATATTGATTTTGGGCTCTTCCCTCTCAATACGCTCAAGCTCCTCTTTCTTAAACCAAAACAACTGACCACAACGCTCATACATTTGCTTCCTTATATAAGTCACATCCTCAACAACTATGCCATACTTCTTCATAAGATCATAGACAGCCTTTCTAGTAGCCACCTCACAAGACTCTCTTACACTCTTAGTATACCCACCAATATAAACAGAAGCGATGGGACCACAGTTTGTCTTAATAACCACACAAGCAATGCTTCCAGGTTCATCAACAAATTGGTAATCTGGATCAAGGAAGTTCAAATAACTTGTAATCTGTTTTAAGAGAGGACGGAAAGGCATCACTACTTGTGTGGGTGGTAAATCCATCACCTGTAAATAGGGGGAAATTCTTAACTTAATTTCAAACAACAGCCATTACAATATAGCCCACACATGCAAAGAAAAAAACCATTTTCCTAGTAGCAACAATTAGCCTCTACACCACACATTACAAATAACTTATTTTTTGTACAAAAAGAGCAATAATTCGTTTGATCATCTTAAAAAAATGAGTAGCTCTCTTATTACGACTATCATCCAATTAAGCATATATCATAGCTATAACTATATATCCTATTGCTAGAAGGATTTACATAACCATACAGCAGCATACAAATACCAACAATTGTAAACTATAACCTAGGCAATGTATCCATCACTCTACATCATGAGTTCTAAATTGTAAACACAACTTCTTATTTCTCTACTTTCCCATCCCTCCTCCAAGCCCTCCCTTGCAACACACCAAACACACCCTCTTTACAACATGAATCACCCAACTGATCGAAAAATAGGAAACAAAGGCAATAACAAAATCACACATGAAGATTCTATATAATGACCACCTATTATACTCACCACATTACAGAATAAAGCACATAAAAATCACTCTCAAACCAGGAAAACGCACACAGAACATGCTACTAATATAAACCAAACAACAACACAAGCAAACACATCCCAAGGCATGTATCTCCATACCATATAAGCATATTTTAGTAAAGCTATGTGTAACTACCATGATATAAGCACCATAGACAAATAGAAAAAACCCAAGCAAAACATATACCATCAATAGGACCTTCTCTTGAATAAACATAACAAAAACAAAGAACATATCAATACAAGCTAAACACCTTCAATAACAACCAAGCAACAAAAGCAAACGCAAAATATCCATAACCACATAAGAGTAATGTATCATGCTATGTCCTTGTCATACTCCTGTAATGCATAGGAATATTCGATGTCATGGATAATCATATTTCCGGTATAGCAAATACTTGGTAGCTCTTGTATGACAGAGTCCATATAAAGGTTGTTGGTTAAGCAAAGACTACATTAAGAAGAATATAGCTTCCAAGTAATTCGCAATAGCTAAGTTATCTGATTAATTCCTGGCTAGAACTAAGGATTTGCTGTATATCTTTTCTATCAAGTCTGAGTGAAAGAAAACTACTAAACATTAAATTCCAAAACGCAAAGAACAACTTTTTTCAAAAAACAAGGCTACCTTATAAATATGAAAGCACCCAGAAACTTGACTCCCCCAAGAAAGAAAAAAAAAGAGCTAGCTAAACTCCTATATACTGAACTACTGAAGTAAATTAATAAGTAATACTCATAATAACACTAACACAAGAGACCATAGTACATATTCAAACCCATGTTTGGATGGTCAAATGACCAAAATAGTAACACATAACTTGACCCCCTAAAACAAGGAGGACTATATCACCATAAGCAAGCAACCTCACTGACTTCCCCCACTACCTTTAATTTCCCCCTCTCCCTTATATTTTTCCCTTTTTTTTGAACCAATAATAATCAGTTTAATAAAAAGGTATCCTGGTCTTTAAAAATAACAGATTTTAAAAATAAAATCCACCTAATCTCCTCCCCCTTTTTTTTCCTCAATAATAAATACATACAAAATCCCCCCCAAAAAATTTACTACCCACCATTTCTCTTATAATTAATTAATCTAATTTCCATAGTAGTAAACAAAAGGATATCCCACACATCTAACTAATCCAATTTCCCTAGTAAACACTAAAAAATGGACAGCTTCAAATAAAATTCTTAAACACCCTAAAATTTGATTATGAATTCGTTAAATAACATTTCGCTATAACTTTTACACAGATATAAATCAACAAAAACTAAATTGCCAAGCTGTTATTGTTAAAATTGCCAAATTAAATTGTTATGATATAAATCAATAGAAACTAAATTTCCAACTCTTATTGTTAAAATGTCCAGATTAAATCAAAACTAAATTACCAAACTCTTATATTGTTAAAATTGCCAAATTAAATTGCTATAATGGTAATTACTCCTTAATAAACCCCCGTAATCAACACGCTATATAATGCCAACGATATTCGCATTATAGTGCTAATTAATAGAACAAGAACATGTATCTATTATCAATGCTTGATTAATAAAACCAGAACATCAACAATTTGACTAATCTATACCCTATACAATACAACAGAATTAGATAGCAACTAATCTAGAAAAACTTTCAATCAACCAACATCTCTAATTTTTTTTTACATAATCGAATCCAACCTATAGAACATAACTAACATACATCCTAGCTTCTCTAAGCCTTCCAATTTAGCTTGTAAAGGAGCCACACGATCTTCATAGATGACACCATCCACACACAAATCAGAAGAGCTACTGAACCTGCAAAATTTACCCATAACACAAAGTCAAATACAAAAACAACAAAGAAGAGAGTACTTAAAAGAACATCAAAGTAAACGACAGAAGGAATAGAAAGAGGATGATATTCCCTCTTTTTTTTTAAAGGAAAAGGACAATAAAGTTATTTAGTAAAGGACG